CAGGGTAACTACTGCCACAGATTCCCACAGCTGTATCAGGATAACTACTGCCACAGATTCCCACAGCTGTATCATGATGCTGCCACAGATTCTGCAGCTGTACAGATTCCCACAGCTGTATCATGATAACTACTGCCACAGATCCCACAGCTGTATCATGATAACTACTGCCAGATTTCCACAGCTGTATCATGATAACTGCTGCCAGATTCCCACAGCGGTATCATGATAACTACTGCCACAGATTCCCACAGCTGTATCATGATAACTACTGCCACAGATTCCAACAGCTGTATCAGGATAACTACTGCCACAGATTCCCACAGCTGTATCATGATAACTGCTGCCAGATTCCCACAGCTGTATCATGATAACTACTGCCACAGATTCCCACAGCTGTATCATGATAACTACTGCCACAGATTCCCACAGCTGTATCCTGATAACTACTGCCAGATTCCCACAGCTGTATCATGATAACTAAGGCCAGATTCCCACAGCTGTATCATGATAACTACTGCCACAGATTCCCACAGCTGTATCATGATAACTACTGCCACAGATTCCCACAGCCGTATCATGATAACTACTGCCAGATTCCCACAGCTGTATCTTGATAACTACTGCCACAGATTCCCACAGCTGTATCATGATAACTACTGCCAGATTCCCACAGCTGTATCATGATAACTACTGCCACAGATTCCCACAGCTGTATCTTTATAACTACTGCCACAGATTCCCACAGCTGTATCCTGATAACTACTGCCAGATTCCCACAGCTGTATCATGATAACTACTGCCACAGATTCCCACAGCCGTATCATGATAACTACTGCCAGATTCCCACAGCTGTATCATGATTACTACTGCCACAGATTCCCACAGCTGTATCATGATAACTACTGTCACAGATTCCCACAGCTGTATCATGATAACTACTGCCACAGATTCCCACAGCTGTATCATAACTACTGCCACAGATTCCCACAGCTGTATCATGATAACTACTGCCAGATTCCCACAGCTGTATCCTGATAACTACTGCCACAGATTCATGATAACTACTGCCACAGATTCCCACAGCTGTATCATGATAACTACTGCCAGATTCCCACAGCTGTATCATGATAACTGCTGCCAGATTCCCACAGCTGTATCTTGATCACTGTCTTTACAGATATTACAATAACACACATGTACATTCAGTCTGGAAAAGGTATTTAATTAAGATGTCTCAAAATATATGCCTGAGGAAAACTGGTCTTGTCTTCATATATACGCATGATTTGTTCTGACGCCAGTTACAACTTCTGGCAACCAGTGCAGACACTGACAACATATTCAGGCACATTTAAAGATGTAGGAATCTGGAATGACCAAGATTAAACACTAGAAAATCCTTTCCTGTATCAGGACATAGTTGTAGGATAAAACTATTGAATGTATGTATAATACATGTATCAGTGATAGCCAGGAGTAGGGGCAATCTGTCTTCACTGTGACAACCTGTACATTTAGGACATCTGTCAAACTGGAAACCTGAGAACTGATATGCAGGAAAAAACCCTTAATTTCAATAACTATCAAATGTATAAAATCAACGGGGAATATTTCAAAACAAACCTGAGTTGGTACAGCAACCTGAGACAGTCCATCTGGGACAGCATTATGAGTTAGTGACAATACACTAGGGCTGCGACGATTCACCGATACATCGTGATACATTTAAGTTTGATACAACTATCGTGTCGTCGACTGGTGTATCGATTTCAAAACAGTTTTATCTTAAACATGTTAAAGTACTTATTTAGAGAAAAATAGGCAAGTATGATAGCGTTTCTTGCTTGGTTATTACAATAGTGTTATTGTTAAACTCAAATACCTTGCAATAAATCAGTTTGCATCTTAATACTGTGCCATTCTTTCAAGGTGTATGTATCGTGATACGTATCATATCGCAGGTAAAATATCGCAATATGTATCGTGTTGTGACATAGTGTATCGTCCTAGTCCTACAATACACCACTGTACATCCCCACAGTGAAGTGAGTGTGTAAATGTTGGGTTTCCCCCTGTCCATGGTGAATGCGATAAGACTTGTAACAATCCTATTAACAAAGGTACATTTTAGCAATATAAACATTACTATATTTCACTTCACAGAGCCATAGGAGTTGCAGCATGGTCTCTTACAGCTGCATTTTAGATTGTCATTATACAATGATCATCAGCTGAATGACTAGCTTCTCCCTGACTGTGAGTCAACGTTGCCGTCACCATATTGATGCTCTTGTTGGCACCATTGTGTTTAACATCTAGTATATACATCACTTCAGGCTGTCATCCCACAACAAGTTCACATCAAGCTGTGTTGAGTAGGACTTACTCACGCTCTATTAAGGTATGTTTCAGAGATGTGTGAGTGAGTGAGTGAGTGAGTGAGAGTGATTGTACTCCAAATATATTGAAGTATTTGAGTAACATCACTTTGGAGATTTCAAAATTATGCAGATCTCTGATTTTCATGGCAAGTAATGTTCCCCCACTCACAATCAACTGACCAATTTCGATCCGGGTATCTCACATCTGATTATCTCTGCTTCTAAATGTCCTTCTAAATGTCAGGGAATGAGCAGAACGTCTCGGAAAATAACATTATTTTTCAATTACACATGACAATGCAGCAAGGCATTCACTTTTAGCCATCACACAATGACAGTGTTGCATGTCACAAGACAGACTTGGTGTTTGTTTGACATGCACTTGTGACAGTTGGATTGAATACATCTACACACCAAAATAGGTCTGTAAAACTTAACGGTGGTCATATAAACACCAACCTGTCACACCACATTCTGTGAAAACTGAATTCAAGACAAAGCCAAAAAGCAGGAATTGAAATCTACCTCTAAAATTAATTTTCTGACATACTGATATAAAAGTGAGTGAAACTAATTAAATATCTATATTCATCTATATTTCAGCAAGTTTGACCTCAGGTGAAGTTTGCTAAATATACTGAGAAAAGTCACACTTACATTAAGATGGTATTTGATGAACTATTAGGGACTGAACTGACCAACCAATATGAAAGTCAGCCAAGCTACTTCAAGACTCCTCAGATGTTGAATATGGGCAGTATCCCCAGATGTTGTACGTGGGCAGTATCCCCAGATGTTGTATATAGGCAGTACTCCCCAGATGTTGTATATAGGCAGTACTCCCCAGATGTTGTATATAGGCAGTATCCCCAGATGTTGTATATAGGCAGTACTCCCCAGATGTTGTATATGGGCAGTATCACCTGACGTTGAATATGGGCAGTATCCCCAGATGTTGTACATGGGCAGTATCCCCAGATGTTGTATACAGGCAGTACTCCCCAGATGTTTTACGTGAGCAGTACTTCCCAGATGGTGTATATAGACAGTACTCCCCAGATGTTTTACGTGAGCAGTACTTCCCAGATGGTGTATATACACAGTACTCCCCAGATGTTTTACGTGAGCAGTACTTCCCAGATGGTGTATATAGACAGTACTCCCCAGTTCTTTTACGTGAGCAGTACTCCCCAGATGTTTTATGTGAGCAGTACTTCCCAGATGGTGTATATAGACAGTACTCCCCAGATCTTTTACTAGAGCAGTAGTCCCCAGATGTTGTATATACACAGTACTCCCCAGATGTTTTACGTGAGCAGTACTTCCCAGATGGTGTATAAAGACAATACTCCCCAGATCTTTTACGTGAGCAGTAGTCCCCAGATGTTGTATATAGGCAGTAGTCCCCAGATGTTGTATATAGGTAGTACTCCCCAGATGTTGTGAAAAGGCAGTGCTCCCCAAATGTTGTATATAGGCAGTACTCCCCAGATGTTGTAAGTGGGCGGTACTGCCCAGATGTTGCACGTGGGCGGTACTCCCCAGATGTTGTACGTGGGCAGTACTCCCCAGATGTTGTACTTGAGCAGTACTCCCCAGATGTTGTACGTGGGCAGTACTCCCAGATGGGGTGGAGTTGTTATGGGCAGTATCCCCAGATGTTGAATATAGGCAGTACTCCCCAGATGTTATACGTGGGCAGTGCTCCCCAGATATTGTACGTGGGCAGTGCTCCCTAGATGTTGTATGACGGCGGTACTCCCCAGATGTTGTACATGGGCAGTGCTACCCAGATGTTGTATATAGGCAGTACTCCCCAGCTGTTGTACGTGGGCAGTATCCCAAAATGTTGTATATACACAGTACTCCCCAGATGTTGTATGTGGGTGGTACTCCCCAGATGTTGTATATACACACTTTCCCCAGATGTTGTATATAGGCAGTACTCCCCAGATGTTGCATATAGGCAGTACTCCCCAGATGTTGTACGTGGGCGGTACTCCCCAGATGTTGTACATGGGCGGTACTCCCCAGATGTTGTACGTGGGCGGTACTCCCCAGATGTTGTACGTGGGCGGTACTCCCCAGATGTTGTATGTGGGCGGTACTCCCCAGCTGTTGTACGTGGGCAGTATCCCAAAATGTTGTATATACACAGTACTCCCCAGATGTTGTATGTGGGTGGTACTCCCCAGATGTTGTATATACACACTTTCCCCAGATGTTGTATATAGGCAGTACTCCCCAGATGTTGCATATAGGCAGTACTCCCCAGATGTTGTACGTGGGCGGTACTCCCCAGATGTTGTACATGGGCGGTACTCCCCAGATGTTGTACGTGGGCGGTACTCCCCAGATGTTGTACGTGGGCGGTACTCCCCAGATGTTGTATGTGGGCGGTACTCCCCAGATGTTGTACGTGGGAGGTACTCCCCAGATGTTGTATTACTGAGAGGCTTGTGCTATGTGTAATCAGATTATGAACATAACTTTTTAAATACAATTCAGTAAGCAACAAAGCAGATTAAACTGACAGTCAGGACGTAATGTTTACAGAAGTGGTTGATGCTGTCAGCTGTTCCCGGTCAGTCTAAAGAGAACAGACAACTAGGAAAGTGGATACAGAAGCACTTTATTTGCAGGTTGATCCCAGAATTGAACAGCCAGGCAGAAGCCATGGATGTCTCACTAAGTACTACACTGCTAAAACAGTTGTCACTTAACATGATGTCTGAAACAGTCCTATACAGCTTTCAAGTGTCACAGATAGCCTACCACAAATTACATGTACAAGAAACTGGACAGTTCTAACTTATTTCTTTTTAACCTTCAAGTCTGTCATTTTCATCCTCTTGTCTTAACATACTGACAAAGCCATGAAACCTGCATAATATTGACAACAGCTTCAACCTGAAAGTAATAGAATATATTTCTATGTGGGCTCAGTGATAGTTTAAACCACAATTCAAATACAGACAGAACTCAGACTGTTTCCGTGATATCCTTCCATGTCAAGTGCTGGCAGAGACGCCAGGCACATCAGTTAGTCGTCTTGATTTCCAATGACATAAACAGTGGAAACATTCATGGGTTTGCGAGACATGAGAGATGTGTACATGTTGCTTGTGATCTTTAGGCTTTGCGTAGGTCTACAAAACATGAATACAATTCCTTTTTTAGGATTTCTATTTAGAGTTCTTTAAATGAAAATATTATCTGTAGTTCATTTATTTGATGGAAAACCTGTTTGATTTAAACAAAGGCATTGCATGTGTGAATCTGCAACTGACAGCTGCACTGTCTGCTTTCGTTTCATGTTTGTGATGACCATTGTGTCCTCTTTTCGGAATAGTTGGATGTAATAAGCAATCAGAATATGCAATATTTGTGTCAATTCATTCACTGTCAGATCAACTCCAGCTGACTTATTATGTTTTTGTCTGGTAGCTTTGTACAGCACAGTTACTGAAGTTGACCTACACTAAACATGCCGAGTCCAGTTTATTGCAGTTCCCTATTTTGATGGAATGTGGTGATGCACAATGGTGTTCCTGCTTCATTCAGCAGGTTTGAATTTTTATTTATTTGTAACAGACGATTATGTTGAAGAAAACTAATAATGATGTAGTGGATTTCCCACACCGCAATGCAACAAAAATTATTACCCTGTAAAAAAACTCATAAAGGAAGTAAAAACATAAAGCCTCACAGGCACTGTGCACACTGAGGGGAATATAAGACAAATCTTAACTGTAAATGTCTTTAAGTGTATCCAAATGTTTAAGATTAACAATTTAAATGAATTTCTTGGTTTCTTCACCCATATCTTGTATTTCATCAACATTTCAACGAGTGGCAAACTTCTTCTTGAACTTCATATCGATGAAAGATGATTGAGCTCTCTTCTCCAGCTGAGCCAACTCTGCCACAGTTGGTGCCAGGAACTGAACATGTCCTTGGTAGGCAGACCCTGCAACAGGCAATGGTTACAAACACATGCTCCCTGCTTCACGTAAGAAACTACACCAACTTGTCTCCATTAGAGGAACATCATGATTAAAACATGACCAGCTTTTTACGTTTTCTTGCAAACTGAGAAGTGTCCTGCTAATTGCCTCATTACAACACGCTAACATTGGTAGCCAACATTAGCCAATATGTAAAGGGTGCCGAAAACAAACCAATAGAAAACAGCAGCTCAGAAGAATGTCTGAGCTTATGACAACACAAGCATTGGCATACACATAATATCTCCATAAATATAGATTTGACAATCTGTAGCATTCGTCAAACAGTAACATGTTGCTGTTGTAACAACTTGGGGGTTTCTTGTTTAGTGTTATGATCAAGATAAACAATTCAACATTTAAAACCCAACAGTTTAATGAATAGACCAAACGAGTGTGAGGGGACAAGACAACCAAATAAAATCATGCAAAAAAAGATTACTATACTATATCAGACTTGCCTACCCTCTTTTAAAGAAAATAGTAAGATCAGCTAAAAAAAAAAATAAGGCAGGTGCATTTGATAGTGAGACATGTTAATGTCAAGAAATAAAGTAAGAACATTGCTGGTGAAAATGTTAATATAGTGTTTAATGGTAAAATGTGGTGCCAATCTAATTACGTTTTTTAAAGTCTTTCACTGTAAGGTGCAAAGATTATTTATTCATAATGTTTATGATGCGACTTCTGTCTTTCTGTACTTTATGTACCGTAAATGACTCTATAAATAGCATGGGCATGACTATATCTAGTATTCTACCATTTATTTGTAGAAGTCGTAAGGAATTTCAGTACGATCGTAAGGTCGTAATTTAGCATCAAAACTAGTAAGCCTTACGTCAAAATCGTAAGGATAGGCAAGTCTGCTATATGAATGACTTAGTTTCAAGAAAAGGAAGATATCTTCCATTGTGTCTTTTTATACCAAGGTTAACCAATCCAAATTGACTGGGGATCAGTTTTCCTCAATGCCTATACATGCTTGCTTTTAACAGTCAGCTGCCCAAGAGAGGTCCCCAAATATCACATCAGAGTTAAACTGACCAGTTACAGTTGACCTGGTCCAGTTAGAGACTTTGTATTATTACCCACATGGGGAGGAGGACACAGGAGGAGGAGGAGGAGGAGGGTAGTATTTTTACTGTAATTCCCTAGGGAGGTTACACCTTGTGGTGAATGTTGATTGGCTGATTCCAGTGTAGGGATATAGGGATTCCCCACATCGCGGGTTTCCCTATTGAGAAATGGTTGTTTTCATTTGAGCGTTATTTAGATTGAAAACTTATATCAGTAATAAAAACAATAACCAACTTGTGACGGAGAATGACAGATTATCTTATATTAATTATGTAATTCTCGAGCGTAATTAATATAACTCAGGAAAGATAATCTGTCATTCCCCGTCACTCTTTAGTTATTGTCTAAGTATGGCTATTGCAAGGACTTCCATGTGGAAATACAAGAGCCCACTGAAAGTGGGGGAGCAGTCAGGGGTGCACTATAACATTATTACTCACCCATGGAAGATACTGCAGTCTAATATTTTTACGGCAATATTACAGTAGTGTAATACGGGTAGACGTATGGCATCACAATGCTAATATGTCTGTCACAATGGTACTGGACCTTGCTTGACTCGTGTAAAGCTGAGAGTCATCACACTGTAGGCACTTTCTATTAATTTATGTTGGAGGGTAATTAACAGAATACAAAACCTGCTTCTGTGAAATACCATTTGTGAAAGATTCAGTATCAAACTGTGTGATACCAAATCATTGACTCCTTTAATAAAAATGGTATTAAACAGAAGGTCGTTTAGTATCCTCTATGTACACAAGCCGCAAAAACATGGTGGACTACTAGTACTGGGAGAACCGGATAGCTTAATGGGTACTGAGCAGGATAATGAAATGAATCTTCATTAACTAGTTTAACTGACAAAACAATTCATGCCAAATTGCAAAAATGATCTTTTGTATGAATCAGTGTTTGATAAGCGTGATAACTTCCAGAGTATTGTGTGCTTATATATGACATGATGTCTGTACTGCACATCTCTGCTGCGGTGGCAGTACAAATTGCAGACATGATAGAGCCAGCTTGGTAAATATTTTCTTTTGAATACGTTAATCAAGGTAGTTCGCCAAGCTGGTATTAGAAGAAAGTAAAGTACAACTGCAGGCTTACAAAATGGATGAAATTCATTATCTCATGTAGACTGTTTTTCATGTTGGTATCTGCTTGCACAACATGAAAGCAAGGAAATGTGTCATTAATTATCTCCTCAAAACTATTCTCATTTGCTGTGAAAACACATCCGATATGATACAATTCATCACGTCCATGTTGATTTAGTCTAAAGTAGACCTTATACAATCAATACCTGTTTGATGTGGCCACTCAGCTTTTAGCAGTCTTATGAGTGAAGTCTAAAATATATATTAGTGTAATTTACACTGCTATACAGATACATTCAGCTTCAAAGATTTACTGGTCATCTAAGACTATTTGACATACACTGCCATACAGTAACAAGCACTTCTACATTACCAGTGTGTACATAGCAAACACCCTGTGTTTAATGCATGACAATATTTCTGCCATTTCATGTTTTCATCATGCTGATGTCGGACTTAAAAGGGTTCAATACTTATGTATCAGCCACATTTCCATTCTCCAAACATTTTGTGTGAGATATATTTACAGCATATCGCAGACAGTGCCTACATTACACTCATATTTCACTCCCTGATTCAGACATTCTCAGTGCCTATTTAAGTCCTGGTGAACCTTGACATGACAGAAGCAGAAACAACCACTGTAATTACAGCACACTGTGTATACATGTGTGTGTTCCACGTCAGTGTAATTACAGCTAACTGTGTGTACATGTGTGTTCAACGTCAGTGTAATTACAGCACAGTGTGTGTACATGTGTGTGTTCAACGTCAGTGTAATTACAGCACACTGTGTATACATGTGTGTGTTCGACGTCAGTGTAATTACAGCACACTGTGTATACATGTGTGTTCAACGTCAGTGTAATTACAGCATACTGTGTATACATGTGTGTGTTCGACGTCAGTGTAATTACAGCACACTGTGTATACATGTGTGTGTTCAACGTCTGTATAATTACAGCACACTGTGTGTACATGTGTGTGTTCGACGTCAGTGTAATTATTGCCCTCTGTGTGTACATGTGTGTGTTCAACGTCAGTGTAATTACAGCACACTGTGTATACATGTGTGTGTTCGACGTCAGTGTAATTACAGCACACTGTGTATACATGTAAATGTGTTCAACGTCAGTGTAATTACAGCACACTGTGTATACATTTGCCCCGAGGACCAAATAACAATGTACAGACCTCTAACAATTAGAACGCGTCTGTATAATTACAGCACACTGTGTGTACAATGCGTGTTTGACACCCAATACATCAGTGTAATTATTGCACTCTGTGTGTACATGTGTGTGTTCGACGTCAGTGTAATTACGGCACACTGTGTGTACATGTGTGTGTTCAACGTCTGTGTAATTACAGCACACTGTGTGTACATGTGTGTGTTCGGCGTCAGTGTAATTACGACACTCTGTGTGTACATGTGTGTGTTTGACGTCAGTGTAATTAGGGCACTCTGTGTGTACATGTGTGTGTTTGATGTCAGTGTAATTATTACCCTGTGTGTACTGTGTGTGTTACGTGTGTCGCATCGGTGTAATTATTACCCTGTGTGTGTACATGTGTGTGTTCGGTGTCGGTGTAATTATTACCCTGTGTGTACATGTGTGTGTTCGACGTCAGTGTAATTACGACGCTGTGTGTACACGTGTGTGTTCGTCGTCAGTGTAATTACGACACTCTGTATGTACATGTGTGTGTTTGATGTCAGTGTAATCAGGGCTCTCTGTGTGTACATGTGTGTGTTCGGTGTCGGTGTAATTATTGCCCTCTGTGTGTACATGTGCGTGTTTGACGTCAGTGTAATTATTGCACTCTGTGTGTACATGTGTGTGTTCGACATCAGTGTAATTACGACACTGTGTGTACATGTTGTGTTTGGCATCGGTGTAATTACGGCACTCTGTGTGTACATGTGTTTGTTCGGCGTCGGTGTAATTACGGCACTGTGTGTGTACATGTGTGTGTTTGACGTCAGTGTAATTACGGCACTGTGTGTGTACATGTGTGTGTGGCTGCCGGTCACACCAGTTTATAGTGCTTTCCCACTGAGATGCTGCTAACACACCCTCAGACACAATACATATGGTTGAAATATCGCTGAGGTGATGCTAAATTTGAACTCACTCACTCACTCACTCAGACACTGACTATATCTCTGATGCCAAATGCAAGGAGAGGTACCATATTCTAACCTCTATTTCCATGACATTGCCCCGAGGACCAAACCTAACAACCTTCTAGCCTAAGACCTCTAACAATTAGAACAGAGAGAGCATCATTTTTTAATGGAAAAGTGCTTCAAAATGATGCAGACAGAACAGTTGGTGAGGGAGCAATTTCACTTAGATGCAGCTTTTAGAAATATTCAATTAAACCTGTCAATTCTAGAGAAAAGTCCTGCTGTCAAGCTGGTCACCCAGCCTGACCACCCAATACATCAATGTATGTGCTTGTGATTAAACAGGTGTCAATGCTAGTAAAGGTCAACTCACTGCAGGTGGCAACATTGTACATTTGGGCAATCAAAAGTTGACATTAAGCATAATAAGCAAATCTATGACGGCAGATTTGAATCCCAAAATTTCCCAGATTTTGTGATGATCCACTATCCAACACAAATGGAACACTGAAGAGAAACGCTACTGCTTGCGGATAAACGACTGATAACTAAATTGTCAGAAAGATGCAAGAAGACATAAACTATAAAATTATCTGCTCATCTCCGGACCACCCAAATTATAGCACACCACCATGTAATTACCTCAGGTCTGGGGCTAAACATGCCCCCATACCCTCAAACCAGACAGTGAGTGTGTTGAGGCTTGTCCTACATTGACCTGTATAGAGCCATGAGCACAGGCATGGCACTGACAAACTTACATACATTGAGGGCAACTCTGGGATGAAGTCACTCCATAGCATGTTTAAGTGATGCTACTCCAGTTACAGCTGGTGTATCTGCATACCATCCAGCACAAGTACCTTGCCTCTGACAGACACGACGACCAACAACACTGCATTTCTGCTCTTATGACTTCACTTCAAGCAAAATGACGTCACTTTGTTGGAAGTAATCACATGTGCAGCTTCATCAACATGAGATCATAGAACCTTGTCAGTTTGAAACTCCTGCATCAATGCTTAAGTCTAAGCACTTCTGTGTTTGTAGTTTCACCACTAACCTGAGGCTTTCTTCTTCTGACCATACATGACCTTGCCGTCAAATTCGTTGATTGGGACTTTGAGGTCAGGCTCCACATGGTCAATGGTTATATCAAGGTGTTCTTCCACATCGTTCTTCAGCTGCAGACATGATCAGGTTCATCAGAATTAATACTCAAATAACACTGACCTGTTGAAGCTGATTAAAGAGGCTTCTACAGTATTCACAATGGCATGCATAGAGACAAATAGTGTATTGAACAATGGAGTACAGCATTGTAGTCTACATGTACTTGCTGTAACTGGCGTGTAGGATGCTGTCTAGAGATGGCAACAACACACTGATACAGGAGAAACAAAGTCCCACTATGTGAGGGTCGGTTGCTCCATCCAGGACAACGTACAGCATTGTAGTCTACATGTACTTGCTGTAACTGGCGTGTAGGATGCTGTCTAGAGATGACAACAACACACTGATACAGGAGAAACAAAGTCCCACTATGTGAGGGTCGGTTGCTCCATCCAGGACAACGTACAGCATTGTAGTCTACATGTACTTGCTGTAACTGGCGTGTAGGATGCTGTCTAGAGATGGCAACAACACACTGATACAGGAGAAACAAAGTCCCACTATGTGAGGGTCGGTTGCTCCATCCAGGACAACGTACAGCATTGTAGTCTACATGTAGTTGCTGTAACTGGCGTGTAGGATGCTGTCTAGAGATGGCAACAACACACTGATACAGGAGAAACAAAGTCCCACTATGTGAGGGTCGGTTGCTCCATCCAGGACAGCCTTGATTGCTCTGGGGTACCTACCTGTGGTTCATTGTACCAGATACAGCATCCACCCTCATCAGTCAGTCGGGTGTTGTAGCAGCCTCGTCCGCGGTTGCTGCAGTTGGAGTGGTACCACACCTGTACATACCAAACAACTAGAAAATGTATTTGCAACCCACAGATATATTTAGACGGCACCAGAGAAATTGATATACCACCATGCTTTTCACATGGGATACTGACCATTACTCTTGTATTTTTCTACAACCGTAACAAGCCAAATAAAGGTACTGGGTTATCTTGCCCCGGCTGATATATGTGGACCATATATAAATGTCATCTTGAATAAATATATTGCAAGTGATTCCAAATAAACAGCAAATAAACAGATATAGATTTCAATTCTAAAGACATTATTTCCAGCTGGGAAAACACATACGCGGTGAAGTACAGTACTAAACCAGAAAGACCTATTCCTCTCACAAACTCAATAAAAAAATATTTGTACTTGAATTTTAGTGCTATCAATTCCAGAAAAGCATACTCAGTCAAACATAACTATAGTACTGTCGGAAATAGAAAAAAACTGTTTTTAGGCTGTTACTCTGTATCCCTAAAATTTACATAATTTCAAAAAGCATATGTTGAAATAGCCCACTTCGGCCTAACTGGGCGTTCAGTGGGATGTGTAATACGATATCCAGAAAAGCATGTTTACTCGTAAAATCGGGCAAAACTTAGGCAATTAGGTCGCTCAGCCAGGTATGACAACGGACCGTCGACTCACCTGGCATGAAATGCACGAGCTGCCTACAGGCACAAGGGGTCATCTCAAAGATATTTTGTGCTTTTTCATGTGTGTTGACTATGTCTCATCTAGTAATTAACATGCATCTTACGTGTTTTTCTTTCATAAAGTTTATGTTGAGATATGTAAAAGAGTATGATACCCGAAAACCATAGAAACGCATCGTAGTATATAGGTGGCATGACCACCCGAAGATCGACAGGAATGGATATTATTTGTAAATTGTTATGCCGTGCCGTGTACCTCCCCAGTATAATTGCCCTAAAGGATTATCTTATCTTTGCTGATATCTCTATCCCCCAGCCCCATCCCAGGTTTTGCTTTTGTGATGACCCCTCCTATCTGTTTCTTTTTATAGTGACAGTGAGACTCCATGGTAGCTACATCCTTAATAGTTTCAGCATGAAAGTTATTATTTTTTACGTCAGCTATCGTTTATAATGAATCTATGTCTAATTTCAAATTGGGCATTTAAAAAGTGTCCTTTGTAATACAATATCGTCGCACACTAATTTGCATAAAGCCATGGTCTATTCCTAATAAGTCTTTTTGGACTTAGAAAAACCCTGCATTGCTCATTTCTGCACTAGTTTCCCCTCAGTAAAGTCTTTTTTCTCCGTTTCCTATCTCTCTACCACTGAGACTGTAGTTAGGCCGAACTTAGTTTAACAGATATTTCACACTTTCACATATCAACTACATAAATTGTAGAGATAAATGAGAAAATACAGTTGTTTCTATTTCCAACAGTACTTTAGCAATTGGATCCAGTCACTTGGATCCAGGGCTTACTCCACCCTTCCAGCCATCTTATATATTTGAATATGAACCATTGTTGGAAATAAAGTAAGCTTTGTTATGTGCAGAGCCTTCAAGCACAAAGAAATAGTTATAAATATGATGTGAATGTAGTAGCTACTGCTGTAACAGTGATCCACACTGGAAGCACTATTGGAAACAAAGTGTCAACTCTGTTACGTTTAGCATTTCAGCAAATGAATCCAACACATATGGTTGTCCCTGGGCTTTAAAAATGGCAGACACTAGAGTAAAGACACAGGTAAGCTTTATAATCAACACTTGTCTCCACAGACTGAAATTCTGATTGAGCAGTTAATGCACACTGAAGGAAAAACATAATTGCCCTTAGATACAGATTCATCTTTGGCAACGATGTGCTTTGTATGTATTTTCAGCGTATATCAACTGGAATCAAATATAAAGCTTGTAGAGCTAGATTACTCCCCGATAGGTTCACTCAAACTACTTTAATTTTGATAGTAATTTGTTTACAGATCATTACCAGATGACAGTTTGTTGGGGCTAACACATTGTTGCATAGTTTGCTGGAACTGGTTGATGGACTGAAGAGATATCACACAGTTTTCACATCCCTACAATTGAAGGAACTCTGCTGCCTTCGTCATGTTTAGAGACCACACCCAGTGAAAGCTGATGTATTTGTGATAACTGGTGATAACAATGTTGAGGATTAATGCCTTGGATTTTATGCATCACTCTCAAGTTTTCAAGTCAGAAAAATGACTTAAAGTTTTATCTGCTTTGATTCATATCATTGTTGTTTATTCAACTACTGCAGATACCACTAGGTTCATTATCAGATGGAATAACAAGGACTGACGGTGTAGTTTGTTCAGTTCATTGTGGCAAACAGAGACCTTGCCAGTTTGCTTCTGATGGAAGTTTCCCATCACATCTGAAAACTATTTCCACAGCTACTGTGCGTATATTCCACTGCTGACAGTATTTCTTTTTGTTTGCATGGTAGAGCATTCTGTTGAAATGCACAAACTGTGCAAACTCTAGGCCTTCATCTCATTGTTCACTTGTTACTCAAATAGATAGGAGGACCAGACTTTGGTATGCACAAGAGAGAGTTGAGGCAACATCGGAAAACTGAAGGTTTCAGATGGTGAGGAGACACCGGTTCATCTTACCTTTTCCTTTACACTGGACACCAGACTTACAGCAAGACCCATCCTTAAAAAGAATTAGTTTTGTTTTCATTTTGAAACGAAAGTTCATGAAGAAATGAAAACAATCAATTTTGTTTTTGTAAACAATTACTTTCGTGTTTTCAGTTTTATATATTGAGAAACAGCAAATAAACACAAAAAGCAGGTGTTTTTGTGTCCATTGATTATTCATGAAATGTATTGGGTATACAAATACAACAGATACATAAAAATACAATTACATGAGGCTTGACATAATGACACACTCATGGGTGTATTGTGCCCCCAACGATCTTGTCAATTTGACATTGACACAAACAAAGCCTAAAACAGTCAATGTCAAAAGAGACACTGTTTGCAATATCTCAGACAACAAAACCTAGGTAAAACATTTTTAAGGAAACAGTTTCCAGGCAGTACATATATTCTCCCCCAAAAGTAGGTGATATTAACAAAACCCTGATGCCTACAGAGACACAAAAGGTAATCAAAAGAAAGCAATGGATTAATGTGGGGCAAAGTGTAACATGACAGTGAAGTGAACTTGGTGGCTGTGTGTACAAATGTTAGTGTCTATAAAGACAACATGTGGACCAGTATGTTGCTTCTGTAGAACTGTCCAACAACCACAGACAATACACAGTGGTGTCTGGTAGTCATAGTCACCCTGACCCGTATCACTACAAAATCTGGAATCAATACGTAAGACATACTCCAGTTTCTACTCCCAACACATCATTGTGTCTGGGTGGAATGTGTTGATATGTTGATAGTGATTTAAGACACAGTTCCTGAGCATGCAGACTATTCTAATTGTCTGGTCAGTAACTTGAACTCTGGTGGACTGGCGCAAGTGGATGGGGATGTAATTGTCTTGCTGAACTCCATTTAAAAAAGAATGGTTTCTCAGTAATTGATTCTGTTCTTTTATTGTTGACCATAAGTGTCGTAGGGCTGATCAGAAAGATTTTGTACCGACAGAATACTGTTCCAAAGTCTGCCAATCACAATCTAAAACATTCAACATATTGGCTACCTCTTGCTGAATATATCCCTGGGGCACTTGGATAAGTGGGAATACTTATTCAGCAACCAGGATAATGTATTTGTTCAGCAAGGTAACTTCCAGGTGGGCTTCAGCTATGATAATGTATTTGTTCAGCAAGGTTAACTTCCAGGTGGGCTTCAGATATGATAATGTATTTGTTCAGCAAGGTAACTTCTAGGTGGGCTTCAGATATGATAATGTATTTGTTCAGCAAGGTAACTTCCAGGTGGGCTTCAACCAGGATAATGTATTTGTTCAGCAAACGAACTTCCAGGTGGGCTTCAGCTATGATAATGTATTTGTTCAGCAAAGTAACTTCCAGGTGGGCTTCAGATATTATAATGTATTTGTTCACCAAAGGAACTTTAAGGTGGGCTTCAGATATGATAATGTATTTCTTCAGCAAGGTAACTTCCAGGTGGGCTTCAACCAGGATAATGTATTTGTTCAGCAAGGTAACTTCTAGGTGGGCTTCAGATATGATAATGTATTTGTTCAGCATGGTTACTTCTAGGTAGGCTTCAACCAACCTAATGCATTTGTTCAGCAAGGTAACTTTCAGGTGGGCTTCAGATATGATAATGTATTTGTTAAGCAAGGTAACTTCCAGGGGGGCTTCAGATATGATAATGTATTTGTTCAGCAAGGTAACTTCCAGGTGGGCTTCAGATATGATAATGTATTTGTTCAGCAAGGTAACTTCCAGGTGGGCTTCAGATATGATAATGTATTTGTTCAGGAAGGTAACTTCCAGGTGGGCTTCAGATATGATAATGTATTTGTTCAGGAAGGTAACTTCCAGGTGGGCTTCAGATATGATAATGTATTTGTTCAGCAAGGTAACTTCCAGGTGGGCTTCAGATATGATAATGTATTTGTTCACCAAAGTAACTTCCAGGTGGGCTTCAGATATGATAATGTATTTGTTCAGCAAGGTAACTTCCAGGTGGGCTTCAACCAGGATAATGTATTTGTTCAGCAAAGGAACTTTCAGGTGGGCTTCAGCTATGATAATGTATTTGTTCAGCAAAGTAACTTCTAGGTGGGCTTCAGATATTATAATGTATTTGTTCAGGAAGGTAACTTCCAGGTGGGCTTCAGATATGATAATGTATTTGTTCACCAAAGGAACTTTCAGGTGGGCTTCAGATATGATAATGTATTTGTTCAGCAAGGTAACTTCCAGGTGGGCTTCAACCAGGATAATGTATTTGTTCAGCAAGGTAACTTCTAGGTGGGCTTCAGATATGATAATGTATTTGTTCAGCATGGTTACTTCTAGGTAGGCATGAACCAACCTAATGCATTTGTTCAGCAAAGTAACTTTCAGGTGGGCTTCAGATATGATAATGTATTTGTTCAGCATGGTTACTTCTAGGTAGGCTTCAACCAACCTAATGCATTTGTTCAGCAAAGTAACTTTCAGGTGGGCTTCAGATATGATAATGTATTTTTGTTCAGGTGGGCTTCAGCTATGATAATTTGTTCAGCAGGTGGGCTTCAGCTATGATAATGTATTTGTTCAGGAAGGTAACTTGTGGGGCTTCAGCTATGATAAATTTGTTCAGCAAAGTAACTTCCAAGTGGGCTTCAGCTATGATAATGTATTTGTTCAAGAAGGTAACTTCCAGGTGGGCTTCAGATATGATAATGTATTTGTTCAGGAAGGTAACTTCCAGGTGGGCTTCAGATATGATAATGTATTTGTTCAGCAAGGTAACTTCCAGGTGGGCTTCAACCAGGATAATGTATTTGTTCAGCAAAGGAACTTCCAGGTGGGCTTCAGATATGATAATGTATTTGTTCAGCAAAGTAACTTCCAGGTGGGCTTCAGATATCATAATGTATTTGTTCAGCAACGTAACTTCCAGGTGGGCTTCAGATATGATAATGTATTTGTTCACCAAAGGAACTTTCAGGTGGGCTTCAGATATGATAATGTATTTGTTCAGCAAGGTAACTTCCAGGTGGGCTTCAACCAGGATAATGTATTTGTTCAGCATGGTTACTTCTAGGTAGGCATCAACCAACCTAATGCATTTGTTCAGCAAAGTAACTTTCAGGTGGGCTTCAGCTATGATAATGTATTAGTTCAGCAAGGTAACTTTCAGGTGGGCTTCAGATATGATAATGTATTTGTTCAGCAAGGTAACTTCCAGGTGGGCTTCAGATATGATAATGTATTTGTTCAGCAAGGTAACTTCTAGGTGGGCTTCAGATATGATAATGTATTTGTTCAGCAAGGTAACTTCCAGGTGGGCTTCAGATATGATAATGTATTTGTTCAGCAAGGTAACTTCCAGGTGGGCTTCAGATATGATAATGTATTTGTTCAGCAAGGTAACTTCCAGGTGGGCTTCAGATATGATAATGTATTTGTTCAGCAAGGTAACTTCCAGGTGGGCTTCAGATATGATAATGTATTTGTTCAGCATGGTAACTTCCAGGTGGGCTTCAGATATGATAATGTATTTGTTCAGCAAAGTAACTTCCAGGTGGGCTTCAGCTATGATAATGTATTTGTTCAGCAAGGTAACTTCCAGGTGGGCTTCAGATATGATAATGTATTTGTTCAGCAAGGTAACTTCCAGGTGGGCTTCAGATATGATAATGTATTTGTTCAGCAAGGTAACTTCCAGGTGGGCTTCAGATATGATAATGTATTTGTTCAGCAAGGTAACTTCCAGGTGGGCTTCAAGCTATGATAATGTATTTGTTCAGCAAGGTAACTTCCAGGTGGGCTTCAGCTATGATAATGTATTTGTTCAGCAAGGTAACTTCCAGGTGGGCTTCAGATATGATAATGTATTTGTTCAGCAAGGTAACTTCCAGGTGGGCTTCAGATATGATAATGTATTTGTTCAGCAAGGTAACTTCCAGGTGGGCTTCAGATATGATAATGTATTTGTTCAGCAAGGTAACTTTCAGGTGGGCTTCAGCTATGATAATGTATTTGTTCAGCAAGGTAACTTCCAGGTGGGCTTCAGCTATGATAATGTATTTGTTCAGCAAGGTAACTTCCAGGTGGGCTTCAGATATGATAATGTATTTGTTCAGCAAGGTAACTTTCAGGTGGGCTTCAGCTATGATAATGTATTTGTTCAGCAAGGTAACTTCCAGGTGGGCTTCAGATATGATAATGTATTTGTTCAGCAAGGTAACTTCCAGGTGGGCTTCAGCTATGATAATGTATTTGTTCAGCAAGGTAACTTTCAGGTGGGCTTCAGATATGATAATGTATTTGTTCAGCAAGGTAACTTCTAGGTGGGCTTCAGATATGATAATGTATTTGTTCAGCAAGGTAACTTCCAGGTGGGCTTCAGATATGATAATGTATTTGTTCAGCAAGGTAACTTCCAGGTGGGCTTCAGATATGATAATGTATTTGTTCAGCAAGGTAACTTCTAGGTGGGCTTCAGATATGATAATGTATTTGTTCAGCAAGGTAACTTCCAGGTGGGCTTCAGATATGATAATGTATTTGTTCAGCAAGGTAACTTCCAGGTGGGCTTCAGATATGATAATGTATTTGTTCAGCAAGGTAACTTCTAGGTGGGCTTCAGATATGATAATGTATTTGTTCAGCAAGGTAACGTCTAGGTGGGCTTCAGCCAGGATAATGTATTTGTTCAGCATGGTTACTTCTAGGTAGGCTTCAACCAACCTAATGCATTTGTTCAGCAAAGTAACTTTCTGGTGGGCTTCAGCTATGATAATGTATTTCTTCAGGAAGGAAACTTCCAGGTGGGCTTCAGATATGATAATGTATTTGTTCAGGAAGGTAACTTCTATGTGGGCTTCAGCTATGATAATGTATTTGTTCAGGAAGGTAACTTTCAGGTGGGCTTCAGATATGATAATGTATTTGTTCAGCAAGGTAACTTCCAGGTGGGCTTCAGATATGATAATGTATTTGTTCAGGAAGGTAACTTCCAGGTGGGCTTCAGATATGATAATGTATTTGTTCAGCAAGGTAACTTCCAGGTGGGCTTCAGATATGATAATGTATTTGTTCAGCAAGGTAACTTCCAGGTGGGCTTCAACCAGGATAATGTATTTGTTCAGCATGGTTACTTCTAGGTAGGCTTCAACCAACCTAATGCATTTGTTCAGCAAAGTAACTTTCAGGTGGGCTTCAGCTATGATAATGTATTTGTTCAGCAAGGTAACTTTCAGGTGGGCTTCAACTATGATAATGTATTTGTTCAGCAAGGTAACTTCCAGGTGGGCTTCAACCATGATAACGTATTTGTTCAGCAAGGATACTTCATACATATGCTAAGTGGTTGTATTTCCACAGGAATACTGTTTTTGCTAAGTGGGACTATTTCTGGCTGGGATTCCACAGGAATAGTGTATTTGTGAAGTGGCTGTATTTCTGGCTAAGATTACAGCGTTTCAAAATAAAAATGGAGTACAAATCAACACCATATTACGAAACAAATTAATTCTGGAATATTTAACTTGAGATGAATTGTTTGCTGTAGTTATTCTTGAGTATAAAGTTCAACTATCAACAATAGTTTGTGTTAGACAAAGACACATGTGCTAGAACAGCAAGCTGAATGGGAACAATGAACAAACACAGGACAATTAAATGGAAGCTTGAAATCTGAGCAGCATGTCTGAACTACTCAGGAATATACAGCACATAATCCCTGTGTGGGTCTCAGATATCTAGTTCCGCCACCAAAACATGTCAGTTATTCAAATAGTTAAACAAATCCCATGTTCTAAGGGATGTTCAATAAAACCCACATGAGACTATTCATGTGACAAGACCACAGCAGCATGATGATACAGACTGAGCCCCTTCTACTCCAAGACTGTGTGGCCTCATACAAACTGTACAGGTAGATTCTCATTGCCATATTTAAGTAGTAGTTTACCTTTCTGCACGGCCAACACGGCCAATGCGATGAATGTAGTTTTGTTTCTCGTCAGGAAGTGTAACATTGATTACTGAAACAAATTGGAAAGAGGGTTAAAATAGTGTAGAACATGCTTGCTATGTACCGGGTAGGTATGTCATGTACACTTAGTTTGGTGACATGTCACAGGACGCTGTGAGCACGGGGTTAATCTCCCAGTCTTCTACACCCTCAGGCTATGGTGGATCACTGAGGTGTGCCACAGAGAGCTCTGACAAGTATCAACAACCAAGCTTTGAAAGATAAGTTACCATATTCAAAACTTGCAAAAATATCTGTTAAACTTACAGAAAGAAATATTCAGTTTCTAGCAAGAAGGACAACCCAGACCCCTGTCCATCTTGATCAGGGATAACAGTGTGAAGATCAGCCCCACTGAATAACAGCACAGAAACACAAGTCTACCAATCAATGGTGAGACAATTCCTGGGGAAACCCATGGGAATTCCCCTACACAAATAAATTCTGAAGCTTTGTTTTCGAAGAGTTGGACACGTTAATCTTGAACTTTGTATTTCATAAGTGTGGTAGTTCCATTGTATGCCCACACAGTAATATCCTCGTGTCAACTAATCTGTGTAGGAAATGAAGAAATGTAAACTATAGACTTGTTTACACAGACAAGTGACGGTCTACAGCAATCTCATTTGACATCCTGTACTTGATGAAAATGTATTTTGACATGCTGTCACTGGGACTGACTAACTGAGGTAGGCACACCTTTTTGCATCTGAAGATGTTAATATTTTAATCCATTTGTTTTAACCCAACCACAACAGATGCTAAATGGCATTTTAGAAGATCATATTTGATGAACATACAGAATTTTCTGGATTTTATCATCTTTTTTATTCTTTGATACAATGTTTCAGGCCTGTTCCGGCCCCATCATCAGGTAAAACTAATGAACAGTAACTGTTACTGTGCCCATGACGTCACAAGGCTATGATGACGCATTGCAAGGTGTCGTCACTCATGGGCACAGTAACAGTTACTGTTCATTAGTTTTACCTGATGATGGGGCCTCGAAACGTTGTATCAAAGAATAAAAAGAAGATGAAATCCAGAGAGTTGTTTATGTTTACCACAGCTGTTCCTGAGTTAGGCAGACATATGCTCATGCCACCTTTCCTTTTCCTGAACTCTTTGATTCCAAGCAACAGTTTGTTACAGTAAAACTTCCCATGTACACAATGTAGTTGTGTAACACATGCTCCCCGGTGACATGAACCAAATTGAGCCTCATGAAATATCTGGGCAATTTTATTTTTCATAAGACTTTAAGAAGCATCTTGAAGTAGCTTGTACTGAGAATGAAATAATGAAGGTTTGTCATATTATTGTATATGTTATGCACAGACAGGCGCGCAGAAACACATTATAAATAATATCTCAGCCTGTCTGCAATTGGAATAGCGTGTTGAAAGATGAGGAAATAACCTTACTTGATTGTCAACGTGTTGGGGAAATACCTTATTGGAATGACGTCATAAGGGGAATTCCTCGTGCGAGTTCATTTGCGTTGCGTCAAAAATAGGAGGCCTACCTATCTAAATCACTTCGGATCGCAACGCATGCAAAATTCGCACCTAGTGTATTGTCTAAATGGAAAGTGTACTGCTTGCGTTTTTTCGGATGCAACGCAGAGAAAATCGGATGTAGTGTAAATCCAGCCTAATGAGGTTCTTCTCTTGGAAATAGCTTTCACTATTTCGTGGAATGTGCAGATCATAATTCCAAAACACAAAATACCATAAATATAGTTTTACTATCATTTCTTTACAGTTTGGGAAACAGATGAGAAGAGTTATGTGTAAGATGAGAATATTACCTTCATTAGTAGTTTTATGCACAGTAATCTGAACTCCATCATGTCAAAGATGTTGATGTTTCAGAGAATTATAACAAAATAACAACTTTCTATCATTGTCATAAGACATATATTTCATGTACTGCCCATTAAGATCTCACTGTGTTCTTCTTTTCACATCAAGTTTGTAAAAGCATTTGCCATGATACCCAGAAACAATTTGACCATGAAGCAGTGACAGGGAACAAATGACTGGGTAAGTGACAAATGTAATGTCCTCAATGTGTCAGATCAGATGTCAGTGGAATAGCTTTGTGTACACTCTCCCTGGCTGATGAATGGCCAGTTGACAATATAACAAACACCATTACATAGCTCCAATATGGGACATTGACAGTGTAGCATGGCTGTAATGAAACCAATTTGTAATGTTTGAGCAGGGAAAACATAACTTGTTTGTTTAAGTGAAAAGCAAATGTGTACATCTACACATTTCTTGTTTTGACTTAGCTATTAAATTTAACATACATAATGTTCACAGGGTTCACTGTAGAACTATTTGAAACCTATAATGAGTTTCCATTTTCTATGTTGTGTTTGTGCTACATTATGAGGAACATCAACAAAGTTTATGCACCACCTGAGGTAAGACTAAGAGTTGTCCAGGGTATGATTGTTCACCACGAAGTTGGTCACAGCTGGTCACCTATGATAAAGTCAGTCTCACCATCACTTTTTGAACTGGTACACCTATTGCCCTACTTTCGGTATGACAAAAATGAAATGGTTATCACATGTCATCAAAATTCCCCAGTGCATGCATTAAATACTCACCAACATTGAAAACGCACCACTTACAAAAGTTCAGATTACTAAAAGCATGTGTAAGGAATTTATATTTTTTAGTGGATAATAACAGATGGACGACTGACAAAAACGACAACACAGAAAAGACGCTCATTCATTTAATTGTTCCACAGTCAGAAAGGATAACACACATGGGGTCAAATCGAAAAGTCATTATCGCGTGTGGCCGCCATTTGCATTGGCACATGCAGTGAAACACCTTCTCAATGAGTCAATAAGCTTCCGAATAGAGTTCTGGATGATGGCATTCCATTTCTGCAGTAGTGTAGCCTCAAGTTCCAGGATGTTTCGCATCTGTTGTCGCCGTGAAAGACTTTGATCAATTTCCTCCCACAAGTGCTCAATGGGCGATACATCTGGCGATAGTACTGACCAATGAATTCCCTGGATGTGTTGCAGCATGGAAAGTCTAGCTGTGTGTGCCCGTGTGTTGTCCTGTTGAAAAGTATGGACATCTTGGTAGTGATTGCAGAGTGCTACAACATGATTCTGAGTCGGCAGTATTCAATCATGGATATGGTCAAGGTCAATATGGCGATCCTGATGTGTTGTGACACGTTGTTGCCAAGGTCATGGAGGGTCACGAGTGCTGCATGTCTGCTGACGTCGTCTATGAAGCCTAACGATGGTGGAGTGGCCAAGTCCAAGTTGTCAAGCAATATCACTGCTGCTGGTGCCAACCTGAACCATGCCTAGTGCACGTTCTTTTCATGAGGTGTTAACCTCGGCATCTCTGTCCTCGTTTCACAATCGTTAGTGAAGCAATGAGAATCGTTTCTCATACACCTGCTTTTAATGTCGCAGTCAGAATGATTTCAGAATGAAATCAGTGCTTTTTTCATGGCGTGGCTGCATGTTGATGCGTTTTGGAATTAAGAGTCACACTGTGGACAGGAATTTGTTTCTAAAGCATGTTTTCAACTAGACATGCCCTTCGACTTCATGTTAGTCATATTCATTGATCACTGGCATGCTGAAATCCATCTTGATGAAAATTTGGACAATTTTAGACTGGTGCGTTTTCAATGTTGGTGAGTATATAATGGGTAAATGTCAAATAAATGCACATCATGTCTATATTACAAATGAAATATTGAATACACACTCAATTACCTTAAATGTACATAAAGGTCAACATTCCAGTTATGAACAAATTCTAGCTAATTGGGCACTACTAAAATGAGCCAAAAGCATGTGTTCAATATTCTTTTAGATGCTAAGCTTGTATAAACTGGAATAAGGTAAAATAACTGTATTTGATTTTGTCTTGTTACATGAAGTCTTTATTAATACGTGTGAATATAATCTGGAAAAAAAACAATAAACCCTCAAATATATTAGACAAGAGCTGAAACAAATATCTATTCCCAAATATGAACCAAAAAATTGGATAAAAATTGAGCCCTGCAACCATAATTGCTTGAAGATCAAGGATGTGTGCCCTTTTAAATGCATGTCATATTGTTTTACTTTAGTTTTATTACATGTTCTAAATATTATGAACCAGTGAAAACTTAAAGTGTTCTTCTCACCATACGGCAATCCTCGGACATCTATTCCCCCTGGCTGCTACATCTGTGCAGATCAGGAAGCGCACCTTACCATCCTGAAGTAGAGAAACAACCATCATGGATGGCATCAATATATTCCAGGTCCAAACAACTGCCAATCATACGTAAGCAAACGGCTATAATTTCATTTATCGTTTTTGTTGTTTAACACAAAATGTGGCAATATTCCAGTTGTATGAAGCCAGTCTACATAATCCAGCCTGGACCAGATAATCCAGTGAAGCTATACAACCAACCAAATCATCAACCTTGCCCACCCTAGTGCACTGGATCTTTATTCTCACCTTGAGTGACTACAGGTGTCTCAACTTAATGAGACTAATATTTGAAGTCATAGACAGCAACATTACAACAATACTTGAAGCATACAAATCAATGGATTTCAATGAATATCTGGTACAGACAAATGAGTCAAAAGTTGAAGTCTGAATAATACATTGTGTAACATATGATACATGTTGTTACAATGGCTGCATAATGGGAACAAGTTGGCATGTCAATATCTGGATTGGAGTTTGAAATAACTATTTAGAGACACCATTGCAGGGTTAACATACACAAGATGATCCAAGCAAAATGAAAAAAAACCACACACACCAAAACCAAAACCAACCAAAGGTCAAAGGTCATAGCCCTTTGAAAAGGAGCCAAGTATGTAATACATGGCATTCAAATATAACTGCCATGGATGAGGTAAGGTGAGATTGGGTTTAACATCGCGCTGGAGAATATTTCGCTCATATGACGATGTGCCTGCATGTGTATGTGTATGTGCGGCTACTTGAACTAGCCCAGACTGAAGCTGGTTTTATAGTGCTAGCCCACTGAGATACCATGCCGCAGTGAAGCATGAATACCCCACTCAGACACATTATACTGACTCCGAGCCGACCAGTCCTTGTTGTACCCATTAATGCCGAGCGCCAGGCAGGGACCAACAAGTACCATATTTTAACGTCTTTTGGTATGACGCGGTCGGGGGTCGAACCCGTGACCTTCTGTTCTCCGGGTGGACGCTCTAACCACTACACCACGGAGGCAGTCACTGCCATGGGACATTAGTGTGAGAGCATATTTTGAGTGGGGACTTTTAAAATGAAAATGTTTACAATGTACAGACAGACATGTGATATATCATTTTCCAGAGAAATATACATTTCAAAGTTCAGCTTCTCACTCAAAATCAGAGAAGGTCAGAACATGGTCAAACAAAGGTCAACAGATATATAATATTTGTTCAATACTTTCTAGTACAGCCTTTCTTTTCTCTCGTTATGATACATTGAGTGAATGAGTTTTACGCTGCTTTTTGCAATATTCAGCAATAAATAACGCAGAGGACACCAAATGGGCTTCACACATTGTACCCATGTGGGGCTTCACACATTGTACCCATGTGGGGAATCGAACCCGGGTCTTCAGGGGTGACGAGCCAACGCTTCAACCACTAGCCTGCCCCACTGCCCCACATGATGCATTGAACAAACTTGAACTACATATGGTAACCATGTCACACACCAAGTTTCAGGAATCTGTCCTGTAAATACTGGAGGACATATTTTGAAGCTTGGTGGGGTTAATTTTTAATAAACAAATTGAAATTTCAAGTTTGTTGCCTAACTTTGACCTCCCTGAAAGTAACAAACACCAACATAATATCTGAATCCATCAAGTCATTTCAGAGTATAAGTTCAAAGTTTAAAATCATTTCTGGACATCAATGACAGATGACTTGTGACGACATCATATAAATAGGGCTTTCTGGACGGGTGAGCTAAAACTTTCACAAGATCAATCTACACAACCCAAGTGAATGTAGACTGATGTACATAATGGAAGTGATAGTGCCTAGGTAGCTGACTGTGTACGTGTTGCCCCTTCCTGAAGCTAATGTGCCAGCCTTGGCATTATTGATTCCATACTTCCTGTAGCTGTGCTTTTCTCCATTCTATCCAGTCAAAGGAAGTTGATCATCCACACACTCACTGACTGCATCATTTACCTTGAATTTCTGGAGGTTGGCTTTCCTCTCGGGAGGTTTTCTGTCCCCATGGAGACACACACAGGAGTATTTGCCTGCAAACAACAAGTGTACATCATTACATGTCTCACTGAGACAGGAACAAAGGTTCTACAGAAATTGTGATTTAATCATGCACTGACTGAGCAACCCATTAAGATTCATTGAGTTTGCACAGATTAGCACACTTTGTTTTGGTCAAATCTGGCCATTCTAAACACCTTGTGCTTTTGTATTCCTGTTATATATCATTTAGTCATCCATCTCCCAAATAATAAATCTCTCCACTTATCATGTGACATTTCACCTTGACATATTTAAGTCTAAAAACTAGATACATTAATAGAACTAATTATTTTAAAGCATTTAAAAACAGGCCTCCAAGATCAACACTAGTTCTTGTTAAATTACCTTAACATTTATACCTACTTATTATGACTCTCGTCTGACAATTCTCAAGGACACATTTTTGGGGGAAAAACTGCTATTAACCCACTTCATTTCTAATCACATTTGGGTGGACATATCGCTTTGAAATCAAGACTTGAGATATTTGGAGATCAGCAGGAAATGTTTGTTAACTTCCTGTTTAATGCTGCACTCTGCAATTTGATAGGTGTCTATAAACAAGTCTTGGCCAAACACGCATCAATATAGTGAATATAGATTAACAAAACTCTTTCCATAATCAAAAGAAATTTCTGCTGGAACTGAGTCGACTGGATAATTCCTGAGTGTGACAGTCTGATCTATGTCCACACACAGTTAAACCAGTTGTAAATAATCTTGTCAAGCCAAAGACTTTATGGAAATGAAGAGATAGGATGGAAAAAGACTAATAATTACAGTTTGCACAGTGTCATGACTTTAGTCTGTGAGCACTCATGAGTGATGAATGATTTCCTAATGTGTGTGACATGTTAGACTCTATGACATACCAGTACAAGTGTACTGACAGGCAATTAGAACTTGAATAAAAGACACTTCTGGAGTTTAAAATCGACACACTAGTTGGAAATTCAGTCAACACTAGTACTATAGTTTGGCATGAAATGCATGTGGACCCGGGTTTTTTTAAATATCTCTTCATCCAATGACCCAATCGATCTCAAACTGTGCAAGTGGATGTTTTGTCAGACAACCTCATCACATTGTAAATCACCGATTTTATGCATTTGTATTAAAGAATCTGTCTATGTAACTGTCAACAAAATAAACAGCAGAACACAGAATGCTTGCAGAGGGAGGGAGCCAATGACCTGTAACAGCGGCAGTGTTGGGTCATAAAGGTCAATGCACGTGCAGTTCATGATAGTTACCTGTGCACTGCACAGTGATAGACCGTTTGGATCATTCACATTGACTACATCTAGCTGTCATCATGAAAGCTTATTCAGATGATGCTAAACGTTTAATTAGAAATGTGATGAATTTTTTTTAAAAAGAGAGCAAACGTAGCAAACCGATTTATAAGGTGTCGGATTACATGAAACGTACAACTTTTGTTCTTGGCATGAAAAAGAACATCGTGCTAAAAATTGTGAAAAATAAACCAACAACCAATAAACAAAGCCTTGTACAAAAAGGTAGGCATCCAAAGTTAGATTCTTTTGACATCAGGGTCATCGGAGATGTCATTCATCGGCTATTTGCAAAATTTAAAGATTTTAACCTACAGAATAATTCTCACTAATGGGTTTTGTGGTTAATGTTGAACAACTCAGAGAAACAAACTCTGTATGATGGTTAACAGTTGGCACCCACCTTACCCTATTCACGACCTGTGACACCTCTTTATACCTGTCATGTGCATAGCTGACCTACATTGATCTAACGTTGACCTTTATGACCCAACACTGCCGCTGTTACAGGTCATTGGCTCCCTCCCTCTGCAAGCATTCTGTGTTCTGCTGTTTATTTTGTTGACAGTTACATAGACAGATTCTTTAATACAAATGCATAAAATCGGTGATTTACAATGTGATGAGGTTGTCTGACAAAACATCCACTTGCACAGTTTGAGATCGATTGGGTCATTGGATGAAGAGATATTTACAAAAAACCCGGGTCCACATGCATTTCATGCCAAACTATAGTTATACTGTGCCATAACAAAAACACAAAAACAAATGAAACATGTCAGGGCCCCTATTCTTGAAGGGATCCTAGCCCAAGGATATCCTAACTTTGATCCTGAAGTCTAGGATATGTGTCCTACTTTATTCTCGAAAAGTATCCTAGCGCTAAGGATACCCTAACTTAGGACAAATACTAGGATAGGTTCTGACTTGTCCTAAGTCCATCTTTGTGAAAGTCAACATCATGAGTGTGGTTCTTGTTTGTTCACCAATTTGGACGTTGCCAAACAAAATAACTCGCCTACATTACGTTTGAATTTACAACAGCACACTGTTTTGATGAGTTTATTAAGAGTTGTTTTAGTTTATATTATCAGTGTATCGGTAATGAATAGACTCACCTGTTGCAATGCACATATTCTTTAGATCTACAAAAGAGATTTGTTCAATTCTTACCTATTCTCGGCCTTTTTAATCACAACATCGCTCTTTTCTGTTACATTGCCGTGAAATGTCAATGTCAAGGCCAACTTAGGGGAAGTAACTCCTGTTTGTTTCCCATGTGAATTTTCAGTTTGTGAGATGATGCATAATGAGAGTTCAAGTCATGATTTTCATAAAACATCAAACAAATACAATGAAAATATTTTTTGCACATATCTTTAATATCCTTGTTGCATTTTTGGCAGACTTTCAAACTCTGAAGTAAAAATGTTATCTCCTTAAAAATGTTATCTCCTTGTCAAATAAATGAACTTTAAATAACTTCAAAACTACTATAATGTGATGAAAATATCGAATAATCTTCTAAGTCTACTTAGTCCATCAAAAGCTGAATTTCACCGCTTTCAAGGTTTTTACTCCGATTTCTAGCCTTACCATTTATCTTGTAAATGAGTTGCCCTTATATAAATGTGTTTTTTAATGGAATGAACCATGGGTAATATTTAGGGAAATCCCCAACTTAATAAAGGTTTTTCTATCTCACCAACTGAAGAGCTCGCTATCCTAGCTAGGATCGGTAGCTCAAGTTAGGACAGGGGTAGGATCGTTTCGCGAATGGGTCTTATCCTAACGGTAGGATGTCCTAACTTCTGTCCTAACTATTTAGGATCTGTCTTAGCTGGGACACTTTCGAGAATAGGGGGCCAGCTGTTACGACGTAAATTGTAATAAAAACGCAAATTGTAATACTTGCAGCAAATTGTAATAAACTTGACGAATTGTAATAAAAACGTGAAATTGTAATAAAATTGACGAATTGTAATGCGCATAAATTGTAATAAAATTGGCGTAAATTGTAATAATTTTAGATTTATGTAAAATGTGTAATAAATATTTACGTAAATTGTAATAACAGTTTTAATCACCGTAAATAAGCGGCTGTTTGTTTTCGTTGCATTTCATATATCAAATAAGCTTGTTAGGGCGATAACTCAAGAAAGAATGATGGATTTTGTTCAAATTTGGTACCAAGGTATATATTTGGTACCAAGCGATAATTTTCAAGGTCACAATATAAAGATTGTTAGCGCTGATAACCCAAGAATGAATTGACAAATCTTAGCTAAATGATCGAAAATGATATTAGATCCTATGATATATAATCGATATAAACTGTCCTCTGTATCATGTCTTTTCGCTAAATATCTTTTGAGGTTTTGATATGTATACATATAAAGTGGGGGTGGGGTAGGGTAGGGGTGGGTTTCTAACGGGTATATCTAACACACTTGCATGCATGTTGAGTCGGAGAGGTGGGTGGGTGTTCTAACGGGTATAACTACTGAGGGGCGTTCAAATAGTAGTCAGCCTCACCTAGAATATGATACAAATGCAGCTGTTTTATGTTTTATTTTTCTAAATATTATCTGTCAGCCTCAAGCAAATTGGTTTTGCTATGTTGCAGCCTCACGATCCCCATTTTGTGAGACTTTGTATCTTGGCTTTGTACTCCCAAAAAACGTAAAATCTGCAATGAAATGCATCACAAACTTCAGGAAACAAAATATGCTATGTTTGAGATTGGTAGAAGTCGGCTAGAATCAAACTTAGATATTAAACTGCACAAAAAAGCAATTTCAAAACTACAATCGCTTGTTCAAATGACTCCCCATTAGGTTTACTGAAAGAACTTCGAGAAAGAAATGATGGATTTTGTTCAAATTTGGTACCAAGGTTTATTGACTGGAGATTGGAGATTTACCGACACCACTTGAATTTAGTGGCCTTGAGGTCATTTTAAAGGTCACAGCGAGAAGGTGTAACAGTTTTGCACATGCCAAGCTTGGTAGCCTTGAACTCAGGAAAGTATTAAAGATTTTGATCCAATTTTATATCAAGGTGTATTGGCGGGGATTCCCCAACACCAATTGATTGGGAAACTTGTGCTCATTTTAAGTTCACAGTGAAAAGTGTTTTGCATATGTCTAACTTTTAGTGCTTGAAAATACAAGACAGAATTAATATGTTTTGCTTAAAGGTAGTACCAACATGCGTTGGGAGTATCGATCTGGCGCCAGTCGAATTCAGTGACCGGATTATTTTCAAGGTCACAGCAGTATTCTGCGATATCTCCAAACCTAATGGATGGAATTTGTTAAGTATTTTGTATCAAGGCATCAGATGACAGTTTGATAGCGTTTACATAATTTTCAGAAGGGTCAGACAGAGGATAATTGCAACATTCAGATATCTCGACATGTGGCGGGGTAATAGCTGTTTGTGACAAACGCTTTGTCTTAATAATTTTCAAATTTTTGTTAGCATATGGTTTCTATAATTTCATGTTAATTCTACCAGCTGTGAAATTATTCGTGATAACGTCTTAAAAAGCCAGAGATTATTTCGTATGTTTAGAAAATTAAAGTTAATTGTTTTTCATTATGGAGTTATTTTAGATGTTGACCTTAAGGACATATTTCTGAGCAATAGCTTTCAATAATTTATTGTTATTTCTATTACATTTTGAAGTTCTT